GTTCGAATCCCGGTCAGGACACTATCTGCAAGGAGTTTGCATGTTCTCCCTGTGCTTGCATGAGTTTCTTCCAGGTACTCCAGTTTCTACCCACACTCCAAAGGCATACTGGAAGGTTATTTGGCTCATATCTAAACTAGTCCTAGTATGTGTATTTATGTATAGGGACCTTAGATTGTAAGCTCCTTGTGGGCAGAAAATGATGTGAATTGTGCAGTATGCAAAACCACTGCATAAATTGTTGGCACTATATAAATAACTATAATTAAAATAATAATAATAATAATGTGCTGCACAAACTGTTGGCGAGATATAAATCCTGTATAAGAATATTAATAAAAATAATAATAATAGGATCTTGAATGGCTTCCTGTCCTCTTTGTTAAGACACTGCACCACTTTATCAAATAGGACATTAGCCTGCATTCCCTTCACCCGCAGAGCAACAGGAACCCCCCGCGTCTGCTCTAACGAGAGACGAGGTCCGAAAAAGCCGGTCGCTCCCTCCTTCCTTCCCGAATCCATGAAAGAGTGACGGCGTGCAACCACTGAGGTGGAAAAGTCATTTTTATCATTTGCACTTGACATTATAACGAAGCAAGTAATCACAAAAGAGGATTAGTCTGTGTAATTACCTCTAACTGCAGGTCATTAGGGTAAAGGGAGGATATTAGCCAAGCTCAGTTACACCACTGGAGTGAGACTGGGAAATACCTGTTGGGTTCTTGACATCTAGGAAAAGATCAGCCGCCAATGCAGTTCCTGGCAGGCGTGTGTAAGCTGAGGTGTGATCTCATAGCATAGATTATTGTTGGCTGTTTTTTTTATAATGGTTTATTGGAGGGCTCCTTAAACTTTTTAGTCCAAGGACCTACATAAGAAAATGATTAGGGTACTGGGACCCAAAAAGAGACATATAACCAAAACAAAGACAAATACTTAGTTACATTTTCCCATACATGCAATCTGTCTCTGTAATGCATTACCCGCATTGCTTATAGTCCATCTCAGATTGCAGCAGTATATGTTTTGATGCAGAAAAAGGAATCTATTTATAAACATTTCACAGCTCTCTGCTTTGCGAATATCTGTAAATGTTCTACTGAATCTGTGAATTAAAGGAGAACTATGAGGTGAGTGCTTTTCACTCACCTCATAGTTGTAGCCGACCTGTGACAATGAGACTGTCACAGGTCGGCTCAGTAGATCGGGAAGTGAGCGAACACATACCGGTGTTCGCTCACTTCTCGATCCTGTCACGCTCTCTGCCGTGAGAGGGGAGGGGCTTGATTCCCCCTCCCCGCTCCGATCCTCCAGCGCTGACTGGCGGAATGGACGGGGGAGGGGGCGGGTACAGCTGGCTCTGCCTCTAGATAAGCAGAGCCAGCTGTCACTCACGCAGCTGGACGAATCCAGACATAATTGTCGGGATCCGCTTCAGCTGCGGCGTCTCAGTATACCGCGAGCTGTAGCTCGCAGTATACTGAGCTTAGGGTGACGGGAGGACGCTAGTTTGTGTCCTCCCGTTACCCTAAGGAGAACTATGGGGAAAAGCCCTAACCACAAAGTTCTCCTTTAAGTACTTATTCACAAGCCAAATGTACTGTTATGTAATACTGCAATAAAGTCACATGATGGAGCTGAGGAGCATAATAAATAAGTATTTCCAAGTTGAATATATTGTCAATACTGCATTATGTCAGCTAGATGGGGCTAAGGACATGGGAAATACGCATTTATTTTGAAGTTGAATGTGGTGTCATGTAATACTTCATTATGACCACTAGATGGAGTTGAGGAGCATAAGAAATAAGTATGTATTTGCAAGCCAAATGTATTATCATGTAATACTGCATTATGGCCACTAGATGAAGATGAGGAGCAGGGGAAATAAGTATCCTCAGGGATGCCTCAAAATTTTGTGGTAGTGGGACTGTGATGTGAAGGGGGAATAAAAACTGATGTGAAGGAGGATCCTGATGTAAAAGAGGAACTCTGATGTAAACAAAGGAGGATTCTGATAAGAAAGGGGGGCTCCTAATGTGAAGGGGGCTACTAATGCAAAGACTGACTCTAATGTAAAAGGGGAGGGGAATCTTGGTTTGAAGGGGGCACTGCTATGTGAAGGGGGAACCCACGTGTTTTTGCGTGGAGTCCCTCGTAAAATCTATGACATTTGAGATTTTGCATGCTTTTAAACATTGCCTTTTAAAAAAGGTTGGGAAACGCTGCTTTAGATGCATGTGACACTAAAGGGTTGATTTATAAATATTCTGCCCAGCTATACAGCTGCATGGCACTAGCCCCATTAAATCATGCTACGAACCATAGGAAATTCCTGTGCTCCTCAGTGTCATCTAGCGGTGCTAGTGCAGAGTGAATGGCATCCGCCCTTTAGGCCCCATTCACACTGAGCGACATGAAAATCGCGCGATTTTCCACACGATTTTATATGTGCGATATTGCGCGACGTCGCGCGACTTTTTCCTATTGGGCTGTATGCAATCAGGAGCAAAATTGCTTGAAATCCGCAGAAAAGGGGTCATGTAGGAGTGACAAGCGATATTGAGCGATATTGAGCGGCGAGATGTAAACAGCTCCATTGAAATGGATTGGAGAAGCTACATAGAGCGATGTCGCGTGGAAATATGAGCGATATCGCTGCCAAAATTGCGCGATAAATCGATCAGTGTGAATGGGGCCTTAGTGTCACATTAGTTTAATGGTTGACTTCCTTTACTTTAGGACTAAATATCTTCTGTTTAAGCTGAGTGCCACCCCACCATACCTTCCTGAGTCAAGTCAGGGGTGGCTTTACTGGCCATTGGGATGCTTCCCCTGGATAGGGAGCTAGTGGGTGGTGTGTCTGATAACTCTTGATCCTCCAAATTGAACATTTATAAATAGACTCCTCAGTTACCAGTAAAAGAACAGCTAAAGTTCAACTCACTTTCTCTTATGGTGTTGCTTTCACTCTGCCCAAATCAGCAAGCCAGTGGCATAGGAAGAGCAAATGCAAATGCTATGGGCCTGGGGTAGAAGTGGGCCCTATTAGAGGTTGTTAGGGCAAATTCAATATAGAAAATATGTGTGCATGTGGAGATGACGGATATCCAGTAATGTAATATGGGTTGGATAGGTTGCCGTTGACACGGACCCTGTACTCCTGTGGACTTACCAGTTTAGAAGACTTGACGTCAGATGTTTAGAAGCCTTGAGGATCATCCTTAGTCACAGATCTCTTTTCATTCTCCGTGCAGAAAGGAGCATTTGTTTAGCTGTCTTAGCGGTGTAGATTTATTGCTCTCTGTTCTTAGTCTGCAGCTCCTAGCCAGCTCTAAAATTAACCCGGTATGCTTAATGCAATGTTCCTTAGGCTGCAAAGAGTGTCTCCTCAGCTAAAAACTGCTAAGAGAAATGAGGTTTGTTGTACTGCAAAAATACAGACGCAAGTATTCTAAAACGTATTATTGTTGCTACTACAACTCTTGGGATTACACAATCTGTAGATATGCCCCTGCATATAGCAGATACCAAAGGCCATGTTTTAGGGTGGCATTCAGCTACCCATATGCCATGTTAAAGATTGGCTGGAACCAGAAGCCTAGGACATACCAAATTGGGGTCACAGTCTACTTCTACTCTCCTTCTTGTCAGTTCTATGTATTCTGACACAGAGTGGGCAAACTGTCTCCTTCAACCTCTCCTCTGTGAGCCTGATGTGGTCATCTAGTCTAGAGAGTCAACTGGGGTAGGGGGAAAGTTCTAATAGGCATATGGCTGAGCGAGGGAGAAAGTATGAATCTGGTGTTGCTCTGTCACTGCTTCCTTGTTAGCAATCAATATTCTGCAGTATTTCTATCAGTGTCATCCATTAAAGAAAGTGGCAGTTGCACATCAGTGATTCTGCCTTTGATGAGGTTTCACCTGCAGCAAAATGTCCATTATGACATGGCCTTTAGTAACAAATGCAAAACACATTCCTGCTGAGAGTTTTTTGGTCTATCAAAGGTATAAGCTTGGGGCCTGTGGTACCTGGTCTTAGGCAGAGGTTTTACTTTTTAATTTTATAGCTGACCTCCGGTCTTCCCTTTAGTCTTGCAGTTCTACCGACTCTTCTCCTGGACTGAAATGGCTTACTCTGATTTCACTGCACACTCTGAGCTTCCGGTTGTGCATTTGAATCAGATAGAGCCCACCTCATTTCCTGGAGGACGTTCAGCTTTATCCAGTACTTTCCTCCTCAGCCTGACTGCCCCATACCTATCATTCATTGGCTTTCAGTTCTTTCAGTCATAGGGGCTCAGCATCATATGTGGGCATGCAAATGCAGTCTGTCTAGTAATCCGAGTCTTCCACACTGACATTCAGTATGATCTAGCTAGCCCTTTCCTCTCCAGTCTGACTGTCCCTGCCCCTTCTCTCTCATTCCTTAGACACCACTTAATTTCCTGACTGAAGGACATTCAGCATGATCTAGCCCTTTCCTCCTCAGCCTGACTGTCCCACCCCTTTTCTTTCATTGGATTTTAGTTATTTTAACTATGGAGGCTCAGCACAACATGTGAGCATTATCTTGTACAGTCTCCATGCAAATCTAGACTGCCTAAGAATGCCCACTCCTCCAGACTGACATCAACCCATCAAGGCATTCTGATATTTGCATACTCCCTCCTAAGAGCCAGCCCACTGCTTGTATCAAGGCTGAGGGATCTCGGGAGAAGTACTGAAGCAAGGTGCTGTGATGTTTTCAAAAAGCTATGAAGAGCCCCTTGCTGGAACCTCCCGCCAGCCATGATTCCATAGAGAAGAACAAAGAGCCAGTGAGGACATTATTGGGTCTAAAATAAGATATGTAATGAAAATGTCAAAAATCTTGATGGGTGTCAGAGAGAGCAAAACATAAGCAGATAAACTTCAGCTTTAAATGTGGCTGGCAGGTTCCCTTTAAATGAACATGACGATCCTGTGACTAAAATACTTATTTTTTTATTTAACAGGTACATGGTCCATTGGGGAATACTGGCAGACTGAATGACATGACACTAACGAGCGGCTCCTGATTCCTGAGTTCATGTGCATGGCAGACACATCAGGTGAGTGATGTCCTATCCTATTCTGTAAAAGGAAACCCCAGTATGAGTAAAAGAGAGGCACTTCCATACTGCTCTGCCCCTTTTTCATCAATGCATGTGACCACCAGTGACTTGCCCAGTTGATGACCGACCTAGCGACCTAGAAGAAAACTATGTTCCACATATCTTCCATAGCCAATGCACCAGTAACACAGAAGAGCGCTCCATTACTCTAACTAGAATGAATGTGTCCTTCCTTCCCAACTCCACACTTGTAGAAACTATCTTGTAGCAAAAAACAACAGGCCTGAATAACTAACGGGGACCCTGGACCGGAGTAATTTCATTTATTTTCCCACCTGAGGCAGGGGTGTCCCGAGGCCGGGTGTCACTCGGAGCGGTTACCCCGCCGTGACGTCACCTCGCATGCACGATAACATCGCATGCGCGGCAATCTTATTGATACCTGCAGGCGGCCATCTTGGCGATGTACGCCGGCAGAGAGAGGAGGGGATAGTCACCCAGCGCGATAAGGTATGCCGTCGGGTCCCCTCCTCTCTCCGAAACTGTCGGGTGCTCATTCCATGACCGTCAGTCATTTTGGTGTCATCCCTCCAATGGTGTCAACCGGGTGTGGGCCGCACCCCCCGCACCCTCCTTGTGACACCACTGACCTGAGGTTGCCTATCTTACACAATGTCATATGATGGCTTCTCTTACTCCACCCCCCCACAGCTAAACCGACCTATCACTACTCTAGCTGGCCCTCCCGACCTCTTCTACCACACCCAGAGAAAAACATGCCCTCCCCTCCAATACTTACCTAGCCCTCCTAGTTCGGGTCTGATCTGCATCAGTCATGTCCCTACTCTGCCTATTGCTCCAAAGGAAACTGGATCAACAGGTAATAAAATTATGTTACAGGGAGGACTCAGAAAACAACTCTTACAGTTCAGTTAATGTTATTAACAGATTTCATCATATAGCTCATCTTTTATTGTGACAATAGTTCTACTTTAATGACTAAGCTTCAGCAAGTACCATTCTATTATCCAACAGGAAGACAAAGAATCCAGCACACAAAACAATGAAGTTACCCAGAGCCGTATTTATCTGTGCTAGCTATGTAAAGGCAATCAATTATCCTTTCTAATGGCATTTTAAGTCATTCAATAAAACATTTGAAATATCTGAAGTGTAAATGATTTCTTTATACAAGATGAGGCTTGTATGAGACTGCGAAAGAATGACAAAGGAAATACAATGCAAGTTTTGTTTGCAATAGGCACGTTGTTAGTGATCTGTACTAATAAAAATGAGAAAGTCCAAGTGACAAGACTATAATATGAAAGATAAATCACTCATGCTCGAACAACAGTTGTAGTCGTCGCTCATGTTGTCTGAACGTCTCTATATAACTTTGCCAATTAGTCCACGTTTATGCTGAGGAATCCGTGTTCAGTGAACGCTCATCGTTAGGGATGAGAGTTTGAAAATTGGGAGATTTTAACACAGTTTTGCCTTTTTGGCTAAATGCATTTTTGATCATGCGGAAAGCAAGATTAAAGTGACACTAAACTCCGGAATTAAATCTTAAAAATACATTCAAGTACCTTAACTATTAACTAAAATGTAACTTATTTGTGTATCACTCGGCTGTAGATCCTCAAATCATCTCTGAATTGGTGCTGAAACTGTCCTTCCTTCTGGAAGGTGGCTACTGTTGTTCCCCATGGTTCCTGTGTGTGTTGTAAAGCTTCCTTTTGCTGACCCGCAGAGCGACACCCCCAGGGCCGGATTTACTCTCTCTGCTGCCCCAATGCCAGGCTCCTCAATGCACCCCCCTGTATGCAGGCTGCATACAAGTGATCTTGACGACATCGCCAAGATCACTTGTACAAAGCATGCGGTGGCTTCCCTGCAGTACATTTAGCCCTCCTTGCCCAAAGCAGGGTTAAATGTAGAAAGCAACTACCTGCCCAGTGCCCGGAACTGCATGTACTGGGTGTCAGGAGATAGGAATTCCACACCCCTGCTGCCCCTCTACTCTCTGCTGCCCCGAGGCCAGGCCTCCGTTGGCTTTGTGGGAAATCCGGCCCTGGAAACCCGCCTTCAAGTGGTGCCCAGGGCATGTGCAAGTTGTCACTCGATTACATATACCTGCATGCTAATACAATTCATAAAGAATTCAACATTATCAGGAGGTTCAGTTGTTAGGCCAGTCATTAGAATGGGGAAGATGTATGATTTTACAGTGACATCACTTTATTTTCCAGGTATGGAGGTCGCAGCATTAGGTGCAAACCTCCAGGGATTGTATGTACTATAGTCATTGGCTAGTGAGGTCTCCCATATTAGAAATGGCTAACAGTGAGGTGGGAGTTGGTGGGCCAGGCTTGTGATTTATCTGATCTTGGAATGTGTTACTTGTCAGAGCAGCTAAGCATAGGAGGAACTTAGAGCTGAACTCCAGACAGATATAAATAACACAAATTTATGAAGCTCTATAATCATTTATTGGAGGGATGAGCAACTCAAGGAGCCGATCAGGTATGATGTTGTGCAAGGAACATGCTGATATTAGAAAAGAGCAGGGTGGGATTAGGTAAATATATTGTACTTCAAGGCTGATTTATGTCCATTAAAAACATAAAGTCGCCATTAAGTGGGTAGCACATGAATCTGTCTTCATGTTTTAAAAGGATTAAATAACACAACAACATGCAGCACCCCTCGAGATGTGTTTTGGATGAATGGTCTGTGGTCTGCAGGTATAAGTAACAGTGTGTCCTTTGCGGTGGACTTAATTATACTCCATATAACACGAGTCAGAGGTTTTGTTACACTTCATAAAATACTGCAATTAGACTTGTATTTCCCCTTTTCCTTTAACATGCTGCTACAAGCTATAGATAACCTGGTAATGGCAGATAAGAGAGGAAATGTAGTGCTCAAAATGTAAAAGCAGAAATAACCAAATCAAAATGTAAAGCCAAACTCCAGGCACAAATGAATGCAGCTCTGTAATCATTAATACGTTGTTATTTTTCTTTTAATGCAAGCAGTGTAACTATAACTTGGTATTAGCAGAGGCATCCCAAGGCGGGGTGACACCCGGTGCGGGTACCAGGTGACACCCCGCAGTGACGTCATCACGCATGTGTGTGATGACGCCACGCACAATACCGCTGTTACCTGCCGGCGTCCATCACCAAGAAAGGAGGGGACGTCACGCGGGGGGATAAGGTATGCCGCCGGGTCCCCTCCTCTCTCGAGCAACTGTCAGGCTCTTGGTCCTTGACCGAGTGCCCCACTTTTCAGAGGGGGTGACACCAAAATAGCACTCAGTCATTTTGGTGTCACCCCTCCAATGGTGTCATCCGGGTGCGGACCGCACCCCCCGCACTCCCCTGGCGACGCCACTGGGTATCGGCCTGTTGCAGTGTACTGTACCATCTGCACAGCAGAGCTCTGTGATGGAGAGGGAGAAGCAGCATAAGGAGCCAATCATAGTGCGGCAGTGCAAGGAAGATGCTTATAGGAGGAGGGAGCTGAGTGACAAATATATGGGGGGAGTCTCTTGCTATCCTTTACGATAGATCCAATATGGTTTGTCGGTAGCTCATTAGATTATGGTTAAGTAGATCAAAGATGCACAGTCTCTATTAGGAAGTACTGGGAGCAACTTGGGCACAGGAAACAAAGAGTGCCAGACCAAAATGGATGTCAGAGTCCATAAAAAAGTTTAATAATCGTGTTGATCAAACAGCAATCACTGCCTACAAGCTACAAATATTGGGAGAACTACCCATAGCTACAATAAGATTTAAATTCAGATTTTTTTTTGAGCCATTCTTTCATTCTTATCATTTCTAAGCCCTGAGGAAGAGGGTTGTGTCTGCCCCCAAAACGTGTTGGATGGTTGATCAAACTTTTTTATGAACTCTAACATCTGTTTTAGTCTGTCACACTTCTGTTTTCTGTCTCTCACAAGGACATCCCCATAATAAGGCAGCCTGAGGCATTTGCCTCAGGTAGCATCTCTTTGGGTCACGTGGAGAAGCAGCAGGCAGAGCGGCATGGCTGCTGCCCCCTTACAGTCCAGAGCTTCCCAGGTTACTAGGAGCTGGGCAGGGAGTTGTGTAAGGGCCATTCACATCTCCCAACCCAGCTCTTAGCAATCAGGGATGCTCTGGCTGACATCCCACCCAGCTTTTGGCAACCAGTGACGTTACTGGTTGCCAGGAGCTGAGTGGGACACTCTGGCTGGTGTCCTGGCAACCAATGATGTCAATGAGCTCGGTGGAATGTCTTCCAGAGCTGGAGTCATTGTTGGAGATGATCCACCTCCTGCGCCTTTTAGCGTGCACCACCACCCAGTGTGCCCCCTGGATGGAACGTGCATGTCCTTCTAAGACTCCTCTGTCCATAGGATGACAACGCTACAGTGATTTCACTAAAGTGCAGCCAGTGTTATAGGAGGTGGAAAAATAACTGATCTACTGACATGATCCTCTGGAAATAATCGGGTTGATCCAGTAAAACAAAAACAGTTGTATTAATACTAATGGCAGACTACATCATATATGTCATTTTTTTTTATTTTGCCCATAGTTACTCTTTAATTTGAAACTCCTCCACCCTTTTATAATTCCAAAAATGAAGTCTGAAAGTCTTTAGGAAGCCAACGGCATTGGGAAGCATTAGTGTCAGCGCCATGTGTGACTGGAAAGGTCCCTGGTGAGATGAGGTGCTGGACATACATTTTCAACTGAAACAGCAAAATTACTATTAAAGCCTGTTGGATGTGATTTGGGTACTTACCACAAAAACAGTGGAGGGAGGGGCTCCCTGGTGAAAAGCGGGTAACCTGAATTGAGAAAGCCACATCTAGTTAGGTCAAATGGAAGCACCAAAGGCAATAGGAGTCTTTCATTAAAAGTCTGATGACAACCAAAATACAAATCCAACCAATGTGTCCCGGGAGACAAAAACATCCCCCTTCTTCAGGGCTTAAAAAAAGCAAGACTATGGACTATGGAAGGACTCCAACAGCTGATATCAGTACTGTGCTGGAAACTGGACAGCATCTGGCATTGCATAGATGAAAGAAGAAAGGAGATAGCTTGTGTGTGTGTCAGCAGCTCTTGTGTAATGAGGCTTGCAAGAGAGTCAGGTACAGAAACCTGCCAAACCCAGGCGAGACACAAAGCTCCAGATGGAACTATTAACATCCTTTTTTGGGGGTTTTCTATTATTGTCTGGTCCAGATTGCAGACTTTTGTACCTTTTCAGCCCTGGAATAAGGGAACTGTCACAACCCTCCAAATGCTTTGGCTTTTCCTTGGCAGTTTCAAATACAACATCATTCAGGATTTTTATACATAAATTGGCCCTTCTACTGCAAATCCTATAGGTAGAGAAACCAGTCATTCCAGACGTCTATTTCCCAACAGACCCAGCACTGTATGAATGAGACAGACTTCTCCTGTACAGAAAAGCGAACTACCTCTTGTCTTTGTATAGTACAATTCTAAAGGATTGTTGCTTTTCACTTAATGTGAGAGTCCAAAATTATAACCAAATTTCCCATAATTACATTTGATAGTGTGAAAAAATGTAGATTATTTACAATGTCTTCACATGGAAGGAGCTGCACAGCTGTAATAAGTCATCTCTGTTTCTACAGAGTCTTCCATCAAAGAGGATTCTGTGCCAAGCCAACGCCCCATCCAGTTCCTTCTTAGCAAGAGACAACAAGGCCAACTCCCTGTCCTGTGCAGAGGTTTAGGAGTTGGTCACACCTGCTTGTCTTAGTGTGAAGGACTCGGTAAGTCACTAACTTTACTAACAAAAATGTTTCATGTCCACCATTTTTCATTTAAACTCTCAATATCCTTGTGTGAAGCAATGGTACATAGAGCAACAAAAACCTTAGGCTTGTCTGCAGGGGTTGTAAGGTTAGAGTCCATGTGTGTCCCACTGTTCATTGTTTAAGCTCTGATGAATGGCAATTCTTAACTGTAAAACGTGTTCATTGTGTTTATCTTCTTGTCGTCATTTGTGAAGCCAATAAATGTTTTTTTTTTTAATTACCTAGTGCTTTTTTAGTCTTTGTTCGCATGGATTTCTCAATCTGGGCATTCCCTCCCTCTGATTGGTCCCTCATTTTGTAAAGAGCTGCCGAAACTGAGCCATCAAGCCCAAACGTTGCTCCTATTCAACTAGAGAAAAGTCGTGGTCTATCGCCTCAACCCCACTCACCCTTGGATAATCATTTGTGCTCATCACTGTCAGAGTCTACGCAGGGTAAAAGACCTTTCTCCCTTGCTATCATGACAATGTCCAGCTCTGAAGAAGAGCACTGCATCCTAGGAGAAATAAAGGGGTAAAGGTCACATGGTCCCCTATACCAGAAAGATAGGTATTTCCAAGGGTAGCAAAAGATGATTACAGCAATGGGGGAGAACAGCGAAGGTGAGGATCAGTCGGTAGGGGGAAGGTCTTTCTAGAGAACATGGTTGCACAACAAGCTCTATCAATTCTCACACATTGGGCAACACAGTGTCCACTTTCAAGCCTTTACAGTCCTAATACATGTTCTCCCTTACTAAGTCCTGATGAAGGAGGTATTTGTACAAGCTCCCAAAATGCATTGGCTATTTCTATACTGTCCCCTTAACCCTATATTGAATCAAGATGTTTTTGGACTATTTAATGGACTGTGGCACTTCAATTCACAGACCAGCAATTTTTCTAGAGAATGTCACCTTACCCTAAATTGGGCAATTTGACACATTTTCTTTATTATTATTATTATTATTATTATTACGTAGTATTTATATAGCGCCAACAGTTTGTGCAGCGCTTTACAATATAAGGAAGACATTACAGTTACAATACAATTCAAGATAAATCAGAAATAATACAGACACATATTTATTTAGGTTTTCTATTTAGGAGATTGGCTGATTTTAGTATTAACAACCCCATTGCCTCAGAAACTAAGAAAACAAGTTGTGAATAGGTTACATTGAATTTTTTTATTTTATTATTTAGACAGGTTTATTTCAAAGCAGACATATGGCGCCTTGACCTGCAACTTAGGTAGGTTACCATGGCATTGGAATATCTTCGTTCAATCCTCATAACCATTGATTAAAGGTGGCCGAATACATAGGCATTAAAAAGATCCACAATGCTGGCACTGTAAGCTCTTGACTAAAAAAGGCCTGATTCTTTTATGCGGCAGGATTAATATATACAACACAGCAAATCCAATCTTCTATAGAGGGAATGAAAAGAAAACAAAAATCTTCCCAGCATGAGCTGGATAGAGCACGCCTGTTTCCTGTATAGGAAACCTTCCATCCTCTCCACTCCTTTCATGACGCTATTGGGAAGAATAATGACTTTCATCTCCTCATTAATAGTCTTCATTTGAATGTAGCTGCTCTGTACAAGATCAGCGTGAGGCCGCCTCGCCTACTATCAGATAGCAGCAAACATCTGAAAAGAGGAGAACTTCAATTATTTTCTAAAATAAGGTGAAGATGATCACGTGGGCGAAAAAAGATGGCACGTGGACTGTTAAACATCTAGAAGATGTGCTACAGAAAGCCTCATTCAGAGGCGCTTTACATTACAACAATGTGCGCTGCAATGCACACTTTTTGGAAGGTGAGTTGCGGCTTGCAGCACAATGCGCTGTTTGTTATATAGTTACATAGTATTTGAGGTTGAATAAAGACACAGGTCCATCAAGTTCAACCTTTGTGTGTCTGTGTGTTTTAGCATTTCAGAGTACCTGTAACTCTGTATGTTATGGTCTCTTGTGAAGGTATCTAAATGCTTTTTGAATGATTTAATACTCTCTGCTGATACCACTGCTTGTAAAAGACAGTTCCAGAATGTAACCAATGAAAAAAGCTACTACCCCTTTGTGGTTAAATCTTTTCTCCACCAGTTTTAGGTGGTGGGCTCTAGTCTTTGTTAGGGAGTTTACAGTAAAAAGTTTATTGCTGATGTTGCCATCACCACCCGACATTTTGTACATCAGAATCATATCCCCCCCCTTGATCTCCTCACTTCCAGCGTGAACAAGGATACATTTAGCAACCTTGTCTCATAGCTTTGGTCCTCCAGCCCCTTAATTAGTTTAGTTACCTTTATCTGGACTCTCTCCAGCTCCAGGACCTCCTGTGGATTAGTGACCAAAACTGAACCGCATATTCAAGATGTGGGCGATCCAGCGTTTTGGCCCGGCTTCCTGATACCGGAAGTATCAAGCTAGGCATCGGAGCATTTGGGCGAGTACGAGTAATCACCCAAATACTTGGCACCGATACTGATACTAGTATCGTTATCGGTGCATCCCTAGTGTACACTGTATATGGCTCCCATGTTGCCGTAACGAAAATTCGTGTTCAGACCTATTCTGATGCATTAACCCAAAAAACACATCTGATTGGCCAGAAAACTCACATGTTCCATTCAGTTTAGTTTTTGATCGAAATTTGGACGGTATCCGAAATTCGAAAACGGAATTTCGGATTCGGACACATTCAGATGAATTGAGATTCGGTAATGCGGATGTGTCCGAATTTCGAAAAATTGAATTTTGATTTGGAACGAAACGAATCGCACATGTCTAGAAGGAAATGCTTTCAATGGTAATGGGAGCAAATAAGAGACAAATTGCTCCCCTTTGTACCCCAGTGTGATACGTCAGATTGAATAAAGAACATGGTTTCTGTGGGCAACAAGTAGCGTTCCGAATGCACCTCAATAAATAACACCGGCTTCGTATTAGCACTTTGATGCAAAGTTTGAAGATATGTCAATAAATAGGTAATCCGTCTGCACACTGCCTGACATTGCTTGGAACCTCACCAGTCGTCTTTCGTTTCCCTCTTATAACGGCGTGAACTTCAATCGCCCTCAGGGTGATTTCCACAAAACAGACTTCAGCATGGTTTAATTATATTACAGTGACATTTGGCTCCTTCAGACATCTTTGGATTTGCAAGGCTTATGGATTCCATCAATGTTGTGCCCAGGTTTTATGGAACTTGATGAAAGAGCGACGTTACGTTTTTTTTTTTTTCCTCCATTGCCTGTGATTTTCATGTTTTTAAGATTAGAGAGCAACCCCAGGCACCACTACAATCATTCGGATAATACTAATTTTAGCCAAAAAAATCCATTGCAGCTGGGCTATAATCAGCAACTTCATTCAATTCACCTTAAAACTAGAACTCCATCCAAAACAAATCAACAAACAAACAGGTCATTAAAAGATAAACTGGGGAAAAAAAGAGAGTTTGCTGTAGTACCTTTAATCCGAAGCTGTTGCCTGCAATCAGGGCCATCCCCAGCAGGGTAGGCATGCCGCTCTGCCTGTCGCCTCTCCCCACATGACCCAAAAAGCCTTAGGCTGCCTCAATAATGGGCAAGATCACTTTCCCAAGTGAATTTGGGAAAATGGAATGACCCCCAC